TTCTCACACGGTAGACACGTATACAGCCGGCTTTGGTAATTCTTCCATGGCATTCAGTTCTGCCATGGAGCCTGATTTCTTTCTTTTTTTTCCTTAACTGTATGAAATCTTAACCCCCCACCTCGAATAGCTATTGCTAAATGTGGGAGGGTAAATGGCTGTTAAATATATACTTATTAATTTTAATAATAAAAGTTGAAATAACCTTCTTATTTTGTTTCATAAATAGTTCTTTAATATTCGAAACAAATTCCATATCTGCTTCGTCTGCCATCGCCATGTTTACTCGTCCCAATCTACATGCTGCACGGCATTGCCGCCCCTCCTGGCAAAATAATAAGCGAGCGAGAAAAATTAAGGAGAAATAAGAGGGTAGGAACATCGTTGTCATAAGCTGGATGCAGTGACACTTCCATATATGGCACAAACGTATCCATAACTTCCATATATGGCACAAACGTATCCACGACGCGTTTTATAACATTTTATTTGACGTAGGGATGACGTGTAATGCTGCTTCCCGCCTATGACGATTTGAATTAGTCATGTGATACAAGATTGAGAAAGCTGATTCGCCCAGAGCGATGAAACGCCCACGAAACGCCCACAGTGTTCCTACCCTCTTATTTTCTCCTTAATTTTTCTCGCTTGCTTATTATTTTGCCAGGAGGGGCGGCAATGCCGTGCAGCATGTAGATTGGGACGAGTAAACATGGCGATGGCAGACGAAGCAGATATGGAATTTGTTTCGAATATTAAGTTAAAGAACTATTTATGAAACAAAATAAGAATTTATGAATATTCTGATCTTTTAAACATAATTATAATACATGAGTAAGTATAATACCATTTCTAACTTTATATTTAACAACACTACACCTGTCCTATTGCCCGTGGTTTATCTTCAATCGCCTTTCGTTTTATTTCGAGTTCCGACAATTCCTTCTCGAGATTTTGTATCTCAGTTTGTTCTTCCGATATTTTGGCCCCAGTTTCGCTTGTCTCGGGATTTAAGGCAGAAATTAACCCATCTAAATAGTTGACTTTATCGTCTTCCTCGGTAAAAGTACTTAAGTTTACTTCAAGTGCATTACGAATCTCTTTAATTATTTGTACCTTACTCTTTCCTTCTACCTTTGATTTATCAATCTTCAACGACAAGGCAAATTCGATCAGTTCGTTCTTCCCCAGAGACAGTACTTTGGTGTCCAAAATAATTTGTTTATCGTCGGCGGCCATAGCTCGTATTCAGCATAAGCAGCCCAATGTTATGGTTGCCTGCCTGCGCGCGGGCGAGGCATTGTATAGTTGTATTATTTCCTAAGGTAGGCAAATTCAATCAAACTAACGATACATATACTTTCAAACAATCCAAAATACTTCAAATATCTTTACATCTACGCTAAACTAATCCCGGAAATAAAATCTACGATACTTTTACTATATACTAACAATATTTTAACGTACAAAACAAATTTGTAATGCGAGAAAAATACGAAAAGTTTTTGCATTTTTTTTCAATTCTTGAATGAGACGATGCTGGATTCGCGCTCGACGTTTTTGATGGCGTTTCAAATGACGAATTTCTAATCTCATTGGCTGTCTTTTTCTACGTTTTAAAACCGTAAAAATGACAGCCAATGAGATTAGAAATTCGTCATTTGAAACGCCATCAAAAACGTCGAGCGCGAATCCAGCATCGTCTCATTCAAGAATTGAAAAAAAAATGCAAAAACTTTTCGTATTTTTCTCGCATTACAAATTTGTTTTGTACGTTAAAATATTGTTAGTATATAGTAAAAGTATCGTAGATTTTATTTCCGTGATTAGTTTAGCGTAGATGTAAAGATATTTGAAGTATTTTGGATTGTTTGAAAGTATATGTATCGTTAGTTTGATTGCATTTGCCTACCTTAGGAAATAATACAACTATACAATGCCTCGCCCGCGCGCAGGCAGGCAACCATAACATTGGGCTGCCTATGGTATTCAGTTTATAAAATTCGTCGCTACTCGCACGTTAAAACATCGTTTTATGTTTTTTGTTTTTCGATTTTGTTACATTTTGGCGGGAAAATGACGTGCCAACTTTGGCGCCAAAAAAATAAACACGAGCTAAGAACATGCTAGTAACTTTTTCGAAAAGATTGTCCTGTAAGGATCTCAAAATTGTAAAAACATTAAAAATACAACAAGGCAGTGCGAAGATATGGCGATTCAAAGTTCGAAAAAAATCTATTTTTAGTAACAAAATGGCTGATTTGTCAATAAAAATAGAACTTTGAATCGCCATATCTTCGCACTGCCTTGTTGTATTTTTAATGTTTTTACAGTTTTGAGATCCTTATAGGACAATCTTTTCGAAAACGTTACTAGCATGTTCTTAGTTCGTGTTTAATTTTTTGGCGCCAAAGTTGGCACGTCATTTTCCCGCCAAAATGTAACAAAATCGAAAAACAAAAAACATACGATTTCTAGGAATGTTAAGTTTTATCCTGTGAGGGAGTTTCGTGATATTCCAAACTAACGAGAGAAAGTTATATGTACTTGGCCAAATTCGCTGTCTTTTATGCCCACCGTGTATAGTGGTGTAAAATATATAAAATAGCGGATGTTTTACCTGTCGTTATAGGGCTAATAAAAAACCTTAATAAAATTGTGTAATGAAGGAAAGATATCTGCATGAAGGATTTTACAAAGTTGTATACCGCCTCCAAACTATGTAACCATGAACAACTGCGTTACTACTCAAATCTACTTCACTGAGCGAAAAACAAACAATTAAATTAACAGTTTTAAATTAACCTTGGTATGCAGATGTTGAACTGGATCTATGAGAGATGTAACATTTAATTAATTTCAATTTATAAAGATGAAAGGAAACCAGAGGATTAAACACCAAATATTTTGGCGATATTCGAAATGACTGATATCGGTCTATAGTTTTCACATAAGGTTTTGTTTTCTGACTTATATATTGGAGTCACTTTGGCAAATTTCCAATCATCTGGAAATATTCCTGTCCTAAGAGATAGGTTAAACACTTCTAGAAGTGATTCAGTTATTGTATCGCTTGCCTGTTTTATTAGCTTAGTTGAGATCTTATCTAGACCTGTAGATTTTGCCATTTGCATATTTTGTATTTCTCTTTTCAGCTCATAGCTTGATATGCTATGAAAGTGAAATACATTTGTGACTTGGTCTATATATGACAAAGGATCAGGACTACAGCCATTGGTTGACTGCATGCATCAATTAACACATGGATTAACACAAAGTGTACGCACGTCTCTGTTCGTACGAAACTGTTCGTACTAAATTGTACGTACAAAACTGTTAGATAGATAGGTAGATAGATAGATAGATAGCAGTGGCGTAACTACTATGGGCTCAGACCGGGAGAACCCGGGGGCCCCAACCCCAATGGTCCAAATGGGGGCCCCAAAGCTTAGGTGATAGAGCCAAAACATTGGCCGGGGCCTCTCTGATATGTTACAATGTCGTTTTCTGACCAACAGAATTCTGTACAATCTCTCCCCAAAGTCCAGGAAATGGCATTTCAGAGAGTCTAGATTCACAAAACTTTCCGGATAAAAACTTTCCGAACTTAAAGTCTACTGTTCTTTTAAATATTTAAGCTGATGATGTTCTACTCCCTGTTCATTATAATGTACAAAATTCCACAACACAGAACATCGGTATTCGACCGAGTCCATCATGTATCTGGTGTTAGATCCCGAAAATATTAAAACACCTAATCCCCTCAGTTAGTAGCCGCTGCAACGTTTCTTTACAATGCCTTTAGACATCGTATATGGAAGCATGTTATTAGTTGCTTTATAAATCAACGCAAAAGTGTCTAGTTTATAATATGTAAAAAATGATCACCAGTGGTCATTCTTAAGTACATTTACTTCCAGCGGCGGCGGAACAGATTTCGTTCTGGGGGGGCTAAATTTTTTCGGCGACCTCCCCCCCCCTCGCCAAAAAAATTTCGGTCAGTGTACCACTTTAGGGGTACAATATACAAAAAAAGGGACGAAAAAAATTTTTCCGGACTTATATCAACAATTTTTTTCGGAAATACACTTTTTTTAAACAAAATATTGCAAATTTGTCCCCTTATACCTAAATTTTCAAAAAATAACCTAAATTTTTCCCTAATTATCAAAATTTTTTCCAAAAAATTCAAATTTTCTGGGGGGGCTAAGCCCCCCCACTTTTACTTCTGGGGGGGCTTTAGCCCCCCCTGTTCCGCCGCCCCTGTTTACTTCACTTGACGCCATGTCCTTGGGCAAGTTAAAAATTATCCTTGCCGCTCTACAATGTAATCTTTCGTACGAGAAGAGTTATCGTAAAATATATGCGGAATATTTGAAGAAGAAACTTTCTGATGATTAATCATTGTACTCATGCTAGTAGAGAGTTGATTATAGGAATAAATAAGTTGAGTTGGCTTTCTTTTTGGAACATTTAATATTATATGTAACTTGAGTAAGATAAAACAAACTGTCCTTTGCTGAACACGTCATGCAGCTAAGTACGAACTCTTGGACGTACACCCCCTGTTGACGTCATTCGCTTGAATCACTTCCGGTGGTGGATGGGGGGGGGGGTTATCTACTAATAATTTATAATTTAGCATGCTTTATTGAGGACAAGCTGTTTTCGGGCAGTTCAGTTCATCTTTCTTCTTTCTTCTTAAAGGCACAGTTCAGCCTTTTGAATGATGGATTTTAAGGCGAATTTCAGCCCTTTTAATTGAAAAAACTAACTAGGAAAATCAATTAAGCATAATTCAAGATCAGCAAACTTAATGTTTTTAACATTTTAAAAAATTCCTATTGTTAAAAACATTTGAATTTACTGCAGATCTTGAATCGTGTATAATTGATTTTCCTAGTTAGTTGTTTCAATTAAAAGGGCTGAAATACCAGAAGCTCCACAACAAACGTAGAGCTTGATTTTTGTGAGGTTTAAAGCAGAATTCTCTATCAGAACTAGTTGCCAGGCTGATTACAGCGAAGTATTTTAAGTAGAATATATCGATACGCTTTTCTGTATTTGACATGTCTCATTCCATAGATGAAAGCATTCACGATCGAGTTTATTCCATAAAGTTGATAGTTACAAACTACGTACCACATCTGGTGGCATGACGCACTACAATTAGAATAGTGTATCACCGTCCCAAGCACAGTTGGAGTCAGTACACAGAACGCCAACACAGCAACAACTATAGAAAATGTCTTAACTGCTTTAACAGCGTGAAAAAATCCATGGATAGCTGATATCTTGTTTGCAGGTTGTCCATCGGAAGTTGCAATGGCGGGTACCGCTGTTTCAACCAAGATACGTTTTCGTTGTTTCTCAGCAATAATTAAAATTCGGATATTAAGAATTAATATTAAAGTAAGCGGTAAGTAACCAACCAAAATTTCTATAGAATGATGTATATAATCATTAATGTCACAAAAACTTCTTAATCTGAAATCAGACATTCTCCAATGAACAAGTGAAAGAACGAAAAGGCAACACGTAGTCAGCCAAATTCCTGAAATAGCTAAAAAAGCTCTTCGTTTGGTCACAATCAGCGAATACTTGAGAGGTTTTACAATATAGAAATAACGATCAACAGTAATGGCGAGAAGTGTAGCCACTGAAGCGAACAGCAATGACCAGATGGTAGAACGACTTAACTTACAAAACAGATCCTGATCACTATCAATGTTTAATATAGTCAGTGTAAACTCAATGATCCATATTGGATAAAAGGTTACACAAACGAGAAGATCTGCCAATGCCAAGTTTCCTACCAAATAAGATGTCGCTGTCTTTTCCTTGTTCGTCAAAATTGCATAAATTATAACTGTCATATTTCCCAAAATTCCAATAATCATTGCGACAAATTTAAAAACAACTGAAAACATTAGAACATCGGTTGGTACTGCGAAGAAATGCGTTGAATTATTTGCCATGGTTGTCTTTTGAAGAATATATAAGACAACAACGATTCAGGTTGAGAGCAACGAAATGATAAACACGTCAGAGAAAAAAATTGTATATGCAGAGTTTGCATAGCGTCATTATCTACTTGAAACAAGTTTAAAGTAAAATGTTATTAAAATTATATAGGTTAGATGTCAATATTTTCATCGCATGAGTAAAATATGCATCCCATGGTAAAAAAAGCTCGGTTTCGTTCATTGTTTAACAGTGAAAATGATTTATAATATCTCAGATTAAAGTTATATAGCTTAATGCAGTTACAAATACCTGCAACATGCCTGAATTATTCACCGGAAGGTAATATTCAGTTTACAACATCAGAAGATTTAATATTAATTTGTTGCAAATAAAGAATATATTTGTTCGCGCAAAGATGCTTCTATAAGGACCATATTCAATTAATTGTATGGCATGATTAAAAATAAAATGAAACTACCGAGTTCTTATAACCAATCATATAAAATAACTAAAAATTATACATATATGTATAATTTATAAAACATATATGTTTTAGGGAATTCTTGATAACGTGGAAAACTTTTAAAAAATTTCAAACTACACTATTTAGTCAGCTTTTCAATAACATTTCAAACACCTGACGTTGTTTTTTTCCACGTCTTGCCTTAAGCATCGTTGACATTGCTGAGAACAAATGTTTTATTAATTAAAACGTATTAATGCATGAAACCCAAATACTTAAAGACATGTGCATCCTATTCAAGGTTTTAATTAACATTTTCCATCAGTATTATGGTTAGAAAGATCTAGTAGTCACCAAATCGTAGAAATGTTGCGATGTCTAGATATGAAGTGGATGTCCTTTATTTTAGATTGTTCTTCAAAAAGAAACGAAAAAGTTTTAAGAGCGTCGCCCTGCTTCCATCAATAAGGTTGCTAGGCAACCTGCAACAAGGTTGCTAGGCAACCTGTTGTTGCCATTTCATCACATATGAAGTACTTTAAGGCAGCTTTGCTATGTAGTCTCATTATCGTGTATGTGACATTAGTTGAAGCCTATAGCATAATTGTTCACATAAAAATACATAACAAACAATCACATTATTTGACACTTGCATGTCCCAAACTATTATACTAGCCTCCTCCGCAGGCCTCTCTATGGGTTCTAGCCTGCGAATGGGTTTTGAAAAAAAAATTTTCTGGGAGAGAGGCCTGCCATAAATCGAACAGAATGGACGTGTCAATGTACCTTGTGGCCGTGTCAATGTACCCCACCCCCTAAGTAGGCTTTTGACCCTAATTATATATTCAGTTTGAAATCTTCAGGCGAGGAGCGAAGCTTGCGAGTATTAACTTTAAAAATGTTTTAAAATGCATCGAAATATTCAAGTTATACGAAAATTAGTTGGTCAATTGAAAGGATTATATATCGAAATGTCTCTCGCGGTCTAAAAACGACGTGTAAATTTAATTGAATCGCTCGCTCGAAGCAGCCAAAATTATGTTTACAGTGTATCAATCACAGATATCTTGGTATCAATTGTTCAGCCGAGGAACTACGATTTGAGGAAATTATCTGGCATAATTTCGAACGCAAAACGAAGAATGGAACGATACGAAAGGTATAATTTGTTTAATAAAAGAATTATATTAAATTGTATTGTTTTCTGGAATATTATTTTGGCATGTTTATTTATATGAAGGGGTTGACATTTTGATTATATTTTACTAATTTTAGTCAAATCATCAGACATTTGGCAACATGTTAAGTGAATTGATATATAAAAGGAAAAGATCTTTCTGTTGAAGCAACCATTTCAATAAGTGAGGAGAGATAACAACTTGGAAATATCAACTACAGAAATTTGATTACAACAAAAGCCTACAAAAATCAAGATTTTGTTGGCATCTTAAGCGTGGTTTACATATGCCTGCATTATCATTGTTTACAGCTGTTGATGCATACATTCTTTTGTGAATTATTTAGTTGAACTTTTAACGACAATAGCCCATCAACAAACAGCAGGTATATGTGAACCAGGCTTCACTTGGTTAAATAGTTAATTGGAACTCACCCCCTTAATTAATATCATGTGAATATGCTAAACCCATTAAGTTGCATTGTAACACATGTAACAACCTCTTTCTAATATAGTATATGCCTAGTTGTGTTACACGTACTGGCCACATGACATCCATGATTTGATAAATAAAGAAATTTATGATGTATCTGCATATTCTCTAATTATATGTATCTCCCTTGTTCATGTTTAAATAAAATTGCTTTTGACATATATTTGTTTTAAATATAATAAATCTACAGTAGATTGGCATGAATCATGTAAGAGCCTACAATGCCAGGGGCCCACAACAAGTTCTTGTTGTCTCATCGCTTGCCGGCACGCCCCTGCTTTTACTCTGTCTAACATCAGACAATTTTACTATTCCAGGGGAGAGTGCAAACAATGGGCTAATCTAAAGCTTCACAGCTTACAATTAATATGTACCCACCATTGAAAGACTTTTGGGTGGTTAATGTAACAATTAATAGCAAAACATGCAGGGATGGATTTACTGGGGGGGGGAGGGTGCACACCCCCTCCCTAGCCCTGGCCAGGGGGTATGTGTGTGCTATTTTTCATGATAAAGCAAAAAATATTAGAGACAAAATGAGATATTGTACACAGTACACTTGTACCACATGGAGGTTGTTTTGCCAAATTGTCAAAATACTGCTGTTGCTGTATATTAATGGCGGGCTGCACACATGACGACACAACTCGAGTCACTCGACACCAGAGCTGGCAGAGCACCCCCCTACCAGATCATGCTGGATCCATCCCTGAAAACACGTCTAACACTGGGAAGTTTCGTCAGTGACTGTATGGTTATAGGGAAATTTGCCTTGCAAAATAGATTTTACCCATCTAAATATTTTGTCTGTAAACTTTGGCAAACAAAATGGAATGTATGTAATGCCTCCATTGGTTAATTAACAAATCCAAGGCAAATGTTATTAAAACAGGTCTTCATACATGTTGCACCACATGGAAAACTATTAGATTCTTATTAAATTCCAGTTGTCCTTTCCCTTATGTCTACATTTATACTCACACCCATATATAAAACAGGGCCACTGATTTAAGAAAGCTTTTGCTATTTTCGCCACATCTGAGACACTCAAGTTTGAAAACTTTGTCTTTGTCCAAGGGATAAATTGCACCGTGTATTCCACAATAAGAAAGCTATTTGTTTAAGACTTTTATTAATGATTTCCTTCCATACAAGCGTATTAAAACAAGGCAAGAGGTGTTTATATATTTAATACGCAGGCACAGTCACAGATGTCAACAGTTGAATTTACATTTATATATTAACAATTTTCGATCGTTCCTTTTCGTGTTACAATTTCGACTAAATCACTGCACTTTCAGCTTATTATGATATAAAATGTCGTCAACAATTTGAATAGAAATTTGCATATATCAACGATAAACTTTCAATTGAAACCTTGTCTTGACATGAATCGACGACATTGTGAATTCACTGCTCTGCAAAGTCACTCGTTATCTCTAAACAATCCAAGTAAATCGCTGCGTCGGCTTTCGATAACGTTCTCAGCTCCTTAGTCAAAGTTCCCTTTGTATTTGCAATGTTGAAGAGCAGGATTATTCGTTAATTTTACAGTTTTACTCGTCTTGTATTAAAGCCATCGTGTTGAAAACAAAATTTTCTTCACTCCTTGCCGTAAGCCCTTCCTACTCCCCCTAAGTTTGAGTTTGTCGAAATTTGCATGCGCGAGCCGGTATGCGCAGTGCAAATTTTTGTGTCGATTTATGGCAGGCATCTCACCAAACTTTTTCCCACCACCCGATTCGTCGGGTGAGATGCCTGCGGAGGAGGCTAGGAGTTCGCTATGTTCAGCAGCTTTTCTTGCAACCACAGTTGACGTACTCCAACAGTTGATCAACATTTTCCGTCCATTTTCCGTTGGACTTGATGGTGAACTGACGAACTGGGAGCAGATAAGCATTTATTCCTGATAAATTCTTGATAACTGGCTTATTAGTAGCCTGCTCAGTAGTGATGGGCGATACCACCAGTATCGGTTTCGATACGATACCGATTACTTTTTGGTTCAAGTATCGAGGTATCGATTACCCAAACGATTACTTCCTCCAATTTTCAAAAAGTTACATATTTTTAACCGTAACGATTTATCCGCCATTTTGATCCATAAAAAAAACAAAAATTACTTTATTTCCCGCCTTTTTCATAATTTATTCTGTCGGCGAGAATAGAATGTCAAATAAAGTATAAAGGAAGTTAGATTAAATTGATAAATGCAGCAATATACCAAAAAGTACATACATTTTATTAGAAATAACCATGAAAATGATGACACAACTGCAGGATTATAATGAATGTCTTATTTTAAAAGTAATCGAAGCACTTTTTCGATACCGTGCAGTATCGACTACTTCGTGTTTGGGCCTGGTATCGGGTGGTATCGATACCAAGTAATCGGTAATCGCCCATCACTACTGCTCAGCAGCCCCCCACACTGGTTAATCCCCCCCCCCCTCCCCCCAACTTTTCTTAGAATTAACATGTTCGGAAAATCGGGTTGGCCATTCGGAAAATTACGGCAATAATATTATAACGAAATTTTAGTTGTAAAACAGAGAAAATATTCTAGAATTTTGTAGTCAGTATAAAGTGATTTACGAAATCATGGCATTTACATGGACAATTTACAAATCGTAAATCCAGGGCCGTAGCAACCGGGGGGCTGCAGTCCCCCAATAATTTGCTAATAATCATTCTTTTTTCAAAATCATGCGACCTTTATCATCTAAATAAGGCGAGACTTTTTTATTTATTGGTTTACGGATTTGACTTTAAAAATAAAAGGTCGGTAGGTCGGAAAAAAATTTAAAAAAAAACGAACTGAGTATAAATCAGAACCGAAATTAATAATCTTTATAAAAAATTTTAACGTCAATTTAAAAAAAACCCGCAAAAAACGTGGCTAATCTACATAGGCAATTGCTAGATAGTATACTTCAAAATAAGATTTCCGTTTTTATATCAATTTTTAAAATAATTAAAATAAGTTAGGGTTAGGTTAGGGTTAGGGTTAGTATTAGGGTTAGGGTTTAGTTTTGCGTTAGGATAGTTTTTTCTACGTTATAAAAATGGAAACCTTATTTTGAAGTATACTATCTAGCGATCACCAATCTACATATTGATTGTCACGATAACATGAGCCAGCAGTACCTAGAGTCAAAGTTCACTTGAAGTGTACTTCATGTCAGAACCCCAAATTAATTAAAATTAACTAAAATTAATATGTTTGCGATGTTACTCTGAGTGCATATCCACACCGGGCGAGCTTGAAAAATATGCCCGGCCACGGTGGGATTCGAACCTACGACCTTTGGAATACTAGCCCAATGCTCTTCCAACTGAGCTACGCGGTCAGGACGGTTCGAGTAAGTGATATTTCGGAACAGTATCTAGTTCCTTCAATACCAATGTGTTCTAGTAATATGAATTTTAAAATATGCCCGGCCACGGTGGGATTCGAACCTACGACCTTTGGAATACTAGCCCAATGCTCTTCCAACTGAGCTACGCGGTCAGGACGGTTCGAGTAAGTGATATTTCGGAACAGTATCTAGTTCCTTCAATACCAATGTGTTCTAGTAATATGAAGCTTCAAGCTCGCCCGGTGTGAGAATTTTCAAGCTCGCCCGGTGTGGATATGCACTCAGAGTAACATCGCAAACATATTAAATTCACCTGAGTACACAACACCAACACGGAAAAAATTCATATAACTAAAATTGTAAAATTTTTGACATCCAATTTTTTTTTTATTTTTCGCTTTCTGAATATTTACGGTCGGCGGATCCGTAAACCAATGAATAAAAAAGTCTCGCCTAATATACCTTTAAAATACTGACAATTGATTAATTTTAAGCGGCTACGTATTATCCATGACAAATTAAACTGCAAAGAATGAAGATATTACCCATACTTTCCTGCTTACTACTAAATTGTAAACAAATTGTAAATTTCGACGTACTAAAACGCTGTTTTCTTACCATCAGAATTCTGTCAAATCTTCCCCCAAAGTCCAGGAAATGGCATTTCAGAGACTCTAAATTCAAAAATTTGCAGCCGCCGCCCCAATCAAAAGGGCTCACTACGGCACTGAAATCGGTAGTTTTTCGGTTTATTACTTCTGTTATATCATCATTGCTTCAGTTTCTATTGTCTTCTGTAGGTCGATATCATGTGAATCCACTCGTGGATGGGCAACTGTCTAAAAGCAGAGGGCGGTTTTGAATATCTCCAGGGGAGTGCGGGGCTGAAATAACCTATACAAATACAGGGTCGATATGAATTAATCAACCTCATTAATATATTCACGAAGTTGATTATTAAATAGCAACCTCTAAATGGGGTTGATTAATACATATCACCCTTCAAATTATTATGAACAAGAAACTATCCAATTTTCTTAAATTTTTCTGACAACACAACTATAAATCGATTTAATCACACAACGTCTAACAATAAATCTTATCAATCACATCTTTGTAGTTTGAAAAGTTAAAAACACGTATTCGCTTTGATGACTTAGCTTTATCTACATTATCTTCGCTGTCGTTACTCTCCTGTTGTTTGCAAGGCATCCTTTTCAGCTTTTCAGTTTACATCTATTCATCAGTCTTGTTAGTCCCTGTAATTATGTCTGACACCATTTCTCTCGACTTTTCACTTGGATGTTGGTAGGAGTGTAGAGACGCCAGACGTCTGTGACCAGTTCTTTCCATACAATTCTTTAATACAATACGCTATCATGTCTCCTCTTTGTTACACACTGTATAGTTAAACACAAACATACAGCGTAATTTTCCCCTTCTCTTATAATTCATCAGTATTGTAATCTACGGTGAAAGGGCATAAAAACTACGATGAAATATGCGGACAACATGAAAATTAATGGACAAAATAACGTTATCATGCAGTACCCGTAAATTGGAACAGTCGTATTTTACACCAGGGACCGGATAGCGATTTTTTCCGTAAAAATGCTTAAAAATGTATAAAACAACGGGTATGGATCTCTCAATTAATAAAATAGACTATAATTCATAAATACTAAAGTTTAATCTTGGTTATACCCATCAACCGACAATTTTAGAAAAGCTTGAAAAAAATCACTATCCAGTGGATACACTATCCGGCGTTCATTCACAAACTGGCCCCAAAAGTTTATTATCGTAGTGGACACTTATTTTGCAAGTTTAGGGATTCAAATTTTGTAGAGCTGCATTCCCATGCAAAGATGTTATAATTTCAGGAATCTCCTGTTTAGCGTAGTAAAATATATAGTTTATTACAGAATATTATAGTACTGCTGATTTGATAAGGATCTATACAGTAGCTATAAATAATTAAATATAGTTACTGGTGTCATCATCTACTCTGTTATCTACTGTACTCATGTACATGTGTCCAATCTCTGTCAATATATTGTCTAAATTTACAAAGGCACATGGTTAAACAAATATGACACAGATTCCCCATTATGAGTTCTTCGTATGGCTTCACCGAGGATCATGGATATGTCGATTACCTGCAATAAAATTAACTTTGATATTAGCAACAGACCTCTTACTGTACATACAGTATAAATTAAAAAAATATTGACAACTATACAAAATACATAACTACAGTAACAAGCAAATAATTATCTGATCTTGATCGCAATCACAAGCCTATCCTTACACCAACTGCACAGGAAACAGGAGGAAATAACCGCATGAAAACGCAGCCATTGAGGCAAGAGTAATATAAAAACAGTACAGTGCATTTGTGATCATAATAGGACCTCAACACTGGTTTTCATTTTTCAAACAATCAAACATATCTGGGGGTAATGGATAATTGTGGAAAATTGTTCTCTTGTGCCCATGTGCTCAAAGAAAAGCTGAGAGCAAGCCCCAGGTTTCGTGCACTTTGGTCAAACTTTGGTTTTCATTCATTTCATTCTTCATCAATTTGTCTGTTTTGTATATCTTATGCCCTAATAATGCTGACATCATGTTAACAACATGGATGACAACGATCATCTAAAGTTTGCAAAATTACCTATTTTCAGCAATTGGTCTACAGTGGTGATTACGACATTGTTAGTGTATGTGCAACCTGGCTCAGTGATTCGGTCCTTGACAGCGAGTTGTTGAAGGGATATTCCATCTTCCGTAACGATAGGGTGAGGAGAAATGGTGGTGGCGTTCTAGTTGCTGTAAAGGACACTATTAGCGTGAAACATCGATTTGATCTTGAAGACAATAGCATTGAACTTGTCGTCGTTGAACTTTCCCAACCTAATAATCAGTCCATCATTTTGTATACCTACTATCGCCCTCCAGGTTCTCCTTTGGTTGATATACAACAACTGAGTTCATCCCTTGCAAATATCCCTGAATCCAGCTGTGTTCTTCTAGTTGGTGACTCTAATCTCCCTGCAATTGACTGGTCATTTGATCAACCAAGTCCCTCCAATGGCGGAGGACATCTGGAAGACAAGTTTTGCGAACTATTTGCCAATTATTTTCTGGAACAATTAATTCCTGATCCGACGCATCGCGGTGGTAATAAACTTGACCTACTTTTGTGCAACCGTCCTGAAATCATTAGAGGTGTATCAACGTCTGCTCCCGAACAATCTGGTTTCCCAACTGACCATCATATCTTAGTATTTACGATTCAAAAACTGATCTCTCGGGCTAAATCTATTAGACGGACAGTGTTCGATTACAGGCGCGGAAATTTTGAAGATCTACCTAAGTCTCTATCTAACACACCATTTGATGGTACATTTCTAAAAAACAATGACGAGCACTGGTCTCTTTAGAAGGAATGGTTTCTGATGCATGTTAATAATTTCATTCCAGTGAAATTTGTTACGGACACTAACTCACCACCTTGGATTGACGGAGAAGTACGACATTTCATCCGAAAGAAATACACAGCATTGAAGAAATTTCGACAATCCAAGTCTGCCGCTCGTAAACATAAACTACGAACATTGAGTCAAACCATCAAATATTTATTTAGACGAAAATACCGTGAATATCTTGCCAAAATCAAAGATTCATTTCAAGATAACCCAAAACTATTCTGGAGTTATCACAAATCCATACTCCATCATCTTGTTAGTTCAAATGCAGAAATTTCTTTCAAAGGTGTCACGGCAAAGACTGCTGCCCACAAAGCCGAACTTTTCAACGTGTATTTTTCTTCTGTTTTCACACCCTCACGATCTAACACCCATTTAGCTGATGCTAATAACCCCATTCCACTGAGAACTGATCAGGCATTATCTGATGTTACCATCAACGTGAACGAAATTTCGTAATGTTTCAACGGTTTGGATACGTCAAAAGCAAGTGGCCCTGATGGCATCCCTTCTAGACTCCTGAATGAATGTCACCAACAAATCGCATCAAGCCTCTGTGATGTCTTCAATCATTCACTAGTATCCGGTAGAGTTCCTTCGGAGTGGAAATCAGCAAATGCTACGCCCATACACAAGACGAAATAGAAAGAACCGGCGGAAAATTATCGCCCAATCTCACTCCTCCCCATCATTAGATAGATAGATAGATAGTTTAATTAATTAATTAATTAATTAATTAATTAATTAATTAATTAATTAATTAATTAAAAACATTACAACCACGGGTTGAATTACGTTTCTAACTTTACAATAAATATTTACTTTATCTAAAATACATTGTAGAATTATGTTGTATAAAACTATTTTTAAATCTATTCGTCCTACTAATAGAAACGTTAAACCTTTGATACAACATATGTCAATGAAATGGGGCGTAGGTGCTTATTCACGTCTTTTACAGGTTTCTGCTTTGGAAGAGGGATAATATCCGCTTCTTTCCAAGACTGCGGAAGATAGCTATCTCTATACGAAAGATTCAAAATCTCTTTTACAGGATCGGCCAGTAGATCAGCATTTCCCTTCAGAACCCAGCTGGGTATCCCATCTGGACCATTGGCCTTGGCTGGATTCACTTTTGACAATTTCATAAAAACCTCCAGCTCCGTAACCGTAAAACCAAGTTCATCGCTGCCGAAATCAGTACAAGCATTATTAGCAAAGTCTTGGAACGCTGCGTGTATAGCAGACTTTATCAGCATGTCCTGCATCTCATTTCTCCTCATCAACATGGATTTCTTGAAACCGGTCTTGTGTTACACAGCTTCTCTCGTCACTTCATTCTATTGGACAAAAACTTGATAAGAACACGCAAACTGATATTCTTTACCTTGACTTTGCTAAAGCTTTCGACTCTGTGGATCACTCTATTCTTCTCAGAAAACTTAAAGCCTATGGAGTGTCAGGTAGACTTCTTGATTGGTTCTCTGATTATTTAAATAACCGTCGACAAAGAGTTGTAGTAGATGGCGTCGCATCACAATGGACACCTGTTACGTCTGGAGTACCTCAAGGTAGTATCCTAGGACCAATGCTGTTTGTCATCTTCATTAATGATGTTCCCAAGGTGGTAGAGAATGGAACAACGTCGGCCTTATTCGCAGATGACACAAAGGTTTATAGAACAATAACATCGGTTAGTGATAGTGACCAGCTGCAGCAAGCTCTAACCAACCTAGATGTTTGGAGTAGTGACAACAACATCACATTGAACGCATCAAAATGCAAAGTTTTATCCGTCACGCGCAAGAAAACTCTCGGAGTCACCCTATCTAGTAAACTATTGTGGGACTCGCATGTGAATGAAATAACGTCCAAAGCCAACAAATTGCTTGGTTTGCTCAAACGAACTTGTCCATCTTTAACGGATACCAAAGTCAGGCCTCTTTACCTTTCCATCGTAAAATCGCAGTTATGTTGCGCAACCCAAGTATGGTCTCCATTTCGCAACAGAAAACTGAGTGAAAAGATTGAGAGTGTTCAAAGGAGAGCCACTGGGTGGATTTTAAAAACCAAGACTGGCGAGATGTCTTACACACAACGAATGTTGGCATTAGGACTTTTACCTCTTTGTTACGACAGGGAAATCAAGGACCTTGTTTTCTTCTTCAAAGCGTTGCACGGTTATATTAACCTTAACATAACACTCTCATCTTGTTCACACAATCTACGATGTTGAATTAGCCTGTACCTGGTCCTTGGTACGGGACTGTCCCTGCCATAGGACTTAAGTTTGTGTGCGTCTGTCTGTCTGTCTGTCTGTCTGTCTGTCTGTCTGTCTGTCTGTCTGTCTGTCTGTCTGTCTGTCTGTCTGTCTGTCTGTCTGTCTGTCTGTCTGTCTGTCTGTCTGTCTGTCTGTCTGTCTGTCTGTCTGTCTGTCTGTCTGTCCGTCCGTCCGTCCGTCCGTCCGTCCGTGAGTGTGTTTGTCGACACGTCTCTCATTCTTTCTCTCTTTGTACACCTCCTTCATTTCTTTCTTCTCTCTCATCCACTCCTTCATAGTAATTTTGGTAACATATATATTAATATTAATTTTTTTTATAATTTGCAACTTTGCTGGCCGGTGCCTTGCATGGGTCCAAATTCTAGAGTCCCGTTCGTACCCTGCCAGCACTCAAAGGGAGAAATAAATTAAATACTCATGCGGTATGAAGAGTATAATTCCCTCGTGAAGTTATGAACATGCATGGGCATATATATCGGACAGTATTTCACAGGATAAAACAAACAAATATTAATTAAAGTGTTTATGCAACGAGATATCACACCAATTTTTCATGATTGCATTATAAAGAAAATTCAAAATCACTACAGTAGTTCTTTCAATGTTTCTTATACTGTAGATAACTCAAATTTGTTGACATGTAATATATATTCTTTACAATACAAAAAAGAAAATGGTGCGAAATTTCGTTGCATAAGCACTTTGAATATGTTTGCATGACAGGCATAATAAGAGGGCTCACCTTAAGCCGTGAACATAACCTCATTTTCTCGTCTTGTGGGATAGTATTTGTAACGACAACAGCCTCGATATCGGTGGCGTCAATTCTACTTAAAGCTGGTCCAGATAAAATACCATGCGTTAAGATTGCAAATATCTGTTTAGCACCAGCATCCTTCAATCTGAAAATAAATATAAACCATACAATACCTTTGAACTTTACTCTTACTCTTTACATTTACATTTACATGCACCTGCTGACGTATATCGTAAAGATATGACAGGGAATGAAATACCTGCATTATGGCTCAAGGCTCATTGATGCTGTAAATACCTGCCCATGAACCTACAGTAGTTTTACCAAACGTGTTCATAATTTAGAGTTAAGATCGCACTTATTACAGTATTACATTTGAAAGTTGCTTTGCACGAGAATACTTAAAACAGGCACACGTGCAAAGCATTTGCTTTCATATTTTGTCTTTATTATTATTATTATTAAGATTATTGTTTCATGCGGTATCTCACCTAAAAAGCACATGTAAAAAGCACTGTTGGCAATTGGTATAATTAGTCAATAATGATTGTACGAGTACATTTCTAGTTACTTGGACGTTTGGAGGACCCAATTGAAATCATTATAATACATATATACTCATATATAACTACACACTACATCAATCTTACCACGAGGTTGTGCGGGGCACGAGGCAAAACTTTCGCAGGGGGGCCCTTATGACGTTATAAAATCTTCCCAGAGGCCCTATGACGTCATAAAATTTTCCGAGAGGCCCCATGACATCACAATTGTAAAACGGGAGAAGCGGTGTTTTACACAAGTTACAGTACACATACTGTATTATCAGGCACTGACGCAGCTAGGATTTATATTCTCAGTTAATTTAAACAATCTTGCGTGTGAAGAAATTCGGGGGCCCCTTCTAAGCTGGGGGCCCGGGGCAAAATGCCCCCGCCCTCCCCTCTCGGCGGCCATGAAAGTTAGAGTGCTTACTCTCGATTTCAATTTTCTTTTGAAATATGACGTTGAATATTTGTTACTTTGTACCAAAATTCGTTTCGAAATTCGTTACGATGATTTACGATGATTCAATAGTAAGCAATTTGATTGGCTGGCTTATTTAACTAGCCAATTACAACTTAACAAAGCTTGATCATCGGAACGAACTTCGAAACGGACTTCGAAACTTTACAATGAACATTCAACATTTACAAACAAACATTGGAAGTCAATCGAGAGTAACATCAATGCCCAAAGTACACTTTTGCATACAGTATAGTGCGTAAAAAAAAACATACTTCTGACATGCCAATCCAAGTGTTCCACACGTATCTGCCATGTCGTCAACCAAGATAGCAATTTTATTTTTGACATCACCAACCAACACCATACTTGCAACCTCATTCGCTTTCTTTCTCTACAGTAATGGAATTGGAGTGTACAACAATATATCTTAACTTGAGTTCATAACTCCATGTATGAATCATGTGAACATTTACATCTTGCACATTCTGGAAATTCAATATTGACAAATTTCTAAACATGTTATTTACTGTAAATATACATGGGATAAACGATTACTTAAAATTTGCTATCACTATTTTTTCGACCAGAAAAATCGTTCGACATTGGTGTAAAATACCGTAAACCTCCGAATATGCTGTAAGTCCCTCGTGTATAAGTCCACCATATTCACTAACGCTCAAGCCATTCCGAATATAAGCCCCCCGAATATAAGCCCCTCCGTGTGTAAGCCCATGGGCTTATTATTGGACAAGTATTTATTAAGGCATCGACGGGGATTCCAACAGCTCAGACGAGTGACGATAATTATATTGCAGTATTACAGTACAGTATAACATGTTAACCAACTTGTTTTATTATGTGTTATATACTGTATATCTATATTCCTTACATACACTGTAGTTATTATATACTGTAGGTTTACAGTTACAGAAAATCCAAACATTACTAACATCAAATGTCGTCCGTATATATAAGCCCCCACCACATGTATAAGCCACCCCTCCCCCCATGTATAAGCCTATCAAAAAATATCCAGTCATCAACAAATATCCAAAATGTATAGTCATATATAGTCATCAAAAATATATAGTCATCAACAACTATCCAAAATGTGAACCTGTAACATAACTTAATAAACATTTCATTGGTGATGCTCTTTATTTACAGTAATCAGGAAGATGAGGTTCTAAACCCACGATAGATCTAATTTCTGGATGAGTATTGACTTACCTCTTTATGAATCAATGCAAATTCTACATTTAATCGGTCAGCAATAGAGGTCACTCTGTAAAGATTAAAATCACATCAATGTTTACATTTCCAAAAGGTCAACATACTGTATCAGTTCCAGTTACTGTACATACAGAGCTTACTGTATCATTGGTTCACTATAACCAACCTTTTGGCACCACCAGCATCTGGAGACACAATAACAGACTCATTCCAGTTATTTACATTTTCCTTTATCCACTTAAGTACGGCTGGTTCAGCATATAAATTGTCAACTGGTATATCAAAGAAGCCCTAGCGTAGGAATTAAAATATTCTGTTAATCTCACACATCAGACAGTACATTAGACACATAGGTTTTAAAACCCCAAACAGGAAAATGTTTTTCACTCACAATACACGCGATCAACAAATGATAACATATGAGGCCCCTGATGCCATGGTAAACAGTTGACAGTGAGATTAGTCCAATGTCTTTATTACATTGGAACACCGTGAAATACCAAAGTGTTTCAATTGTCTTTAGTATGATTAAATATATGTTTTCCCAGGCAAAACAATATTTTGTTGTTACAAGAAATTATAAGCTTTCTGTCCGTGTCACTATGGCCGTTTGTATTTGCTTTTTTGCACTTGTTGCATCGTGCAGTTAAGTGCGACTAAATACTAAAACAGAACTGTACAATAAATACTAAAACAGAACTGTACGATAAATACTAAAACAGAACTGTAAAATAAATACTAAAACAGAACTGTACAATAAATACTAAAACAGAACTGTACAATAAATACTAAAACAGAACTGTACAATAAATACTAAAACAGAACTTGTACCACTAGAAACTTTATATATTTTTAAGCCCCGTACATGCAAACAAGCATGTCCTTGACAACTTTTATTTGTTTGTGTGCACGGCAAAAATTGACAAGTTTTTCCTTGACAAGTCAAGTCACATCACGTCATCTTTTCAAAAAGGAAGATTGATCGTATGCACGGCTGTCAAGGAAAACTTGACAGGTATTTGCGCAGTACTGTATGTCACCGCGCACTCATCTTCGAGCGCCATTGCCATCAAACAGACATTCCAACTACTGGAGGTAAAATGTAGGGAGACTGTTCAGTGAATTGAAATCTAGTTCTTCTGGGAAAAAAATAATAAAAATTAAGTCTTCTGAAATGATTTCAGAAGACTAGTGAAATGGCGTTTCCTGCATTTTGGGAATATGTTGTTTAAGTGATCCTATAAATTGCCATGAAGTAACTTCATAAAAAGGTCAAGAAAGTCTATTATGTTGCTAAAAACAGTATGTTTATGATTTTTCAACGATATTTCCTGAATATTCTGAAAAATCAGGAGAATTTGATAAAAATCGGGAGACCAGGAGATTGCATGAATTTTCGGGAGACTCCCGGTAAAATCGGGAGAGTTGGAATGTCTGCATTAAGGTTACAGGACACCCTTTTTGGCGTTTTGCGGAAAATCGCTACTGCGCGCTCAATATCAGTCCGATTTTCATCACATTTTCACCAAATGTTCTCCAGTGCATGCAAAATATGGTAAAGTTCTAAAATTAACAAACAATAAAATAATGTAAGAGTTATTCAGGAACATCTTAAATCGCGGTACCTTTACGCTTTTGAGTTGTGCTCCTGCTGGTTTTAAGTTATATTTATGAAAATATCATTTTTATACAGTAAAATAGTTGTTCTAAAAAATTGTGTTCGGAAATTTTTGTTTATTTCGTCATTCCGCTGATATGGCGATTTCTTTGATGACTGCAATATATTTCTGAATTGTTTGAGTGAATTGCTCTTTATTTTTAAAATATCCAAAATTAAACAAAAGCCGAACACAATTTTGAAACTGACGTATTTAGCTATGTCCTGTGAAAATTTGAGAAAAATTGGTTAAAATCCGCAGGAGCATAACTCGTTTGAAAATCAGTAATTACCGTAAAATTTTTCGGGAGAAAATTGAATTTGAATATTACATTTTCAATGTTTTTCTTATTGCAGCGAAATGTATTTTACTAAATAACTCTGCGAGTTTTCAACATTTTTCGTTCAAACTTGGTCAGATAGTAGAACTAGTCTAGTGCTTTCATTGAAACCAATAAAAAAATGTTAGGCAAAATTAACACTCAAAGGTGTTCTGTAACCTTAAATCACGTTTATTTTGAAATTCGCTTTTGAACTCAGGATTTAATTTTGTTGGCAGCAGCTTTGAACGAAAATTATGACATGAAATTGTTTACTTTCTTAAATAGCGCGGGCTCGTACAACGCTTCAAGGAAAAACTGCTGTCTGTACTTTAGAAATGAGAGACTGTGAGGTTCAACAACAACTGTGGAATCGTACCTGAATTTGGGACGCATGAAGGTCCATTGTTATGATGTGATCAGCACCAGCAACAGAGAGCATATTGGCAACAAGCTTCGCTGATATAGGTGCTCTGCTCTATATTGAAAAAAATACATTATTATACCCCAGTAAATATATTAATTAATATTATATAGCATAATGACTGCAATAATATAAATGTACAAGCAATCATGGTAAACATAGTTTTTCAGGTCTGTTTAGGACTGCTCACGATGACGAATATCCGCCATTTTTGGGTGGCATCCAATTCTCGTTAACCATTTCAGACAATTAAAACAATGTGAAAAGCATTATTTCAAAATAAACTAACCATTTATAAAGCAAACTTACCATAATTTGTCCAAAAAATTATAAAAAGTCGCAGTTATGTTGACTTATCTCGCAGACCTCGGCTGAAATGCCACCCAAAATTGGCGGCGTGAGAAAGGCTAATTTGTGACAAGTGGATATAATTTTCACCATCCATACACTGAACTCCAAAATTAAAGCAATTTTAGCTTTCTAAAAAACCTAAATTGCAAGAGTACAGTCCGAAAACAAACCCTCATGGGTAACTAATTGTCCTTACAAAAATTAAAACAAACCATCTGGCTAATTGTCCAAGTTTAAAAATCAGCTAAATCAAATACAAATACCTTGTCTTTCTTATCTTGCCGTGCATAAGGAAAACAAGGGATGACTGCTGTGACTCTTTCAGCTGATGCTATTTTGCATGCATTTATCAAAATCAGGAGTTCCATTAAATTATCATTGATATCTCCACAACCACTTTGAATTATGAACACATCTTCTCCACGGACAGACTCACCAACTTCAACACTAAAAATATTTGAAGTCATTGAGACAGCTGTCATTACGCAGCAATTGCAACTTTGCATAAAGTCACAAATAAGTCAGCACAATAAGTGGGATTTTCAAAACAATGAAAGGATAATGGAATGTTCCGATCAATGGAACTTACGCATGCACGTGGAAAAGGCCCAACACTGATGTCTTCTATCAAAGTTCCTTGATAGGCTGGGGGTCTAAGCGATGGTAGCACACAGGGCTCAAAATAACGGGAGATAGGTCTCCGGTCAACTTGATTTTAGCTCGGTCAAAATTTGTTTTTGACCGGTCATTGATACGCTTACACTAACAGTGAAACAAACTATATTAGAAACTTGTTTCGATACATCATAGTTTCATGTTTTAGTTCAAGACGTCAGCAATCACATTGGAAGGCACTGGAAGGTTGATCGGCCGGTATTTTGAGCCCTGGCACAAGTCAAGAATGAAACCTTGCATGCTCAGTTGCCACATTGCTCAAAATGTATTGCCCGCTTTGCAACCTGCGACAAAATGGCATGAGTTGCGACAAAATCGGTGTAACACGTGACAAAATGGTGGGACTCGTGAAAAATTGGCGCAACGTGAAAAATTGCCGCAACTCGTGAAAAATTGCCGCAACTCGTAAAATTGGCGCGACTTGTGACTAAAGCTAGGGCGGGAGTAAACTTTTCGCAGGTTCATTTTCAGTTTTCCTTTAGCCTAGGTCTTTCTCTCCGTCAACGAAGCGTTTCCAGGTCTTGGGATATAGAGGTGTTATCTCGATGGCCATTTCTTTAATAACTCTTTCCATGCAGGGATTTGCAAAGACCGGGCTAACATGGCTCACCATGCATGACACATTCATCCGTGTGTTTGCATGCACCTGTCCGTCAAATCCCATGTTATTTGTTTTACGGACTACTTCAAATTTTCAAAGGAACTTTGACTTATTATACATGGCTGAGTCACTGTTTGTAATTACGGGCCGTAAAGGCTTAAAATTGTCTGGCTTGTGGTGTTTTATCGAACCTCTTCTCCTTGTTTCTCTGATCTCCTTGTTTACTGCGATACCAGTCCGGAAAGCATGCGATTATACTTATCAAAGTGAAACACGAAAACGACAGAACTCAATGGACTCAAGCATACTCAGGAAAATTTTCCGCAGAAAGAAAATTTTGTAAAATGTGATTGGCCTACACAAATTTTCCGTCAGAAAAAAATTTTGAAGTTGAAAATTTTCAACTCTTAACAATGATATTTTCGGAAATTTTTCAGTGGAAATGGGCCTTTACACAAAAAGGAGGAAAACGCAACATTAATGCCTATACAGAAAACTAACGCATGTACAGACAAATACCTTGACCAAGCGCGCTGACTTTGACCAACACACTCAACTCCATCACCTGAAGAATTGGTGGGCATGTTTTTCGAGATGGTCGATCCATCAACTTACCAAAGCTACGTAACTTTACCTTATATTGAAGGCATAACAGAGTACAGGGAACCCTACGACAGCATGATATACTGATATACAGTAGCGGTAAAGTCTAAACCACTACGAACATTACAACGACACTTCCCTTCAACAAAACACAGAGTCGAACTTGACAAACGTAATTTACAAGATTCCATGCGGAGACTGTACCTGATCGTATATATAAGAGAAACGGGAAGAACATTTGAAACAAGCAAGAAAGAACACGTGAGGAATGTCCAACACAGCATCACATGCATGGTCGTCATGGAAAAATGGACATATAATAATTAGAACTGACATTAAGAAAGGAAAAATTATTGACAAGGTCAAGGGAAATCATAGACTTAGGGGCTGTTTATAAGGAAGCCGGACTGGCCCGCTCAGCGAGACAGCCCGGTAAGCAATTGCCAATATTTCACTGTGTAGTTATTTTCATCATGGGCGTCAATCCTGGGGGGGGGGACGAATATCTAATTATCCCCCCCCCCCCAACTTTTTAACATGTTTAATGAAATTTTGTTTCTTGGTAATCCAAAAACCTAATCCCTGGTGTGCTATTCATCCAGACTTGTGGTTGGAACGCTGTAGCCACTGGGAGCAAATACTGAGATCGCATATGTTATGTGAATACTAAAAAATACTCAAATTGAATTCAAATTTGTACATGTGTTGTAATTTTATAAACATTTACATAAAGGCACTATTTGTCGTATTCACTTCCTGTTCTAACTGGCAAGCTGCACTGAATGAGACAATAATTCGTTTTGCTTGTTTTTGTTTCTTATTATTACGCCCGTAAAAAGTATTTAGAATTTATTTACATTTTGTTTTTCTATTTTGGATAGGCTAGGGGCCTTCTAGAAACCTAATAGGCTTTTTAATTAAGACCCCTTACATTTTTTCTGTGTTGGTGTAAAATGTACTCAGGTGAATATGATGCTTGTGATGTTACTCTGTCTCTAAGTGTATATCCACACCGGGCAAGCTTGAAAAATATATGCCTGGCCACAGTGAGAATCGAACCTACGACCTTTGGAATTGGAATACTAGCCCAATGCTCTGCCAACTGGGCTACGCAGTCAGGTCGGGTATGTGATATTTCGAGTATGTGATATTTCGGAAAAGAATCTAGTTCTTTCGATATCAATGTAATCTAGTAATCATGATTTTTTCAGGTCGATAAAATAAAACATTAAAGTGCCTATAACACGAAATTTCACCCCAAATGTTTATGATTGCATTGTAAAGAACACTTAAAATGACTTAATAATTTCTTTTATAGAATTTTGGTAACTTGCTTCCTTTGTAAGATATTCAACTTTGTTTCATATGCAAATATGACCGGTGTGACATCACATCGCATAATGACATTTTGAAAACGCAATATTTTACCTTGATAAAATACTTTTACAAACAAATACAGAGGGTTAATTACCAGTTATGAAATTAATACATATACAAGGGCAATTTTTTTAAAGTTTTTTAGATACGTATTCGTCAAGAAAACTATACTTTTCTGAAAACTCATTATGTGATGTGATGTCACACCGGTGATATTTGCATATGAAACAAAGTTGAATATCTTGAAAAGGGAGCAAGTTACCAAAATTCTATAAAAAAAATTATTAAGTCATTTTAAGTGATCTTTACAATGCAACCATAAACCTTTGGGGTGAAATTTCGTGTCATAGGCACTTTAACATGCATATTAACTTAATTATATATATTCGAAGTGGAAGATATTATATATGTATATTCATGCACAGGGACTGAAGGACTGATAATATATTTTAAACTATTATACATCAATTATTGAGCAAATGAGTAATGGAAATTAAGATTTAAGACTAGATAGTTTTATTTTACCATTTTCAAAAGTTCAAATATAGTAAAATATTAAGGCTAAACATTCCATTTTTGTAGTTTCTCGCCTAACTTCAATTAAAAGTTGTAGACATAGCATTGCAATCAAACCAAATGAATAACTAACAACTAATATAATTGACAACTTTGATGTGCTTCATCACACTTGCACAACCTTGTTTTTTAGCGAATTTCTCACATGGTTAAAAATGGATTTAATTAAGATCATGCACACTGTACTATAACTTTACAAGTGCCTCCAAAACGCTGGAAATGCCATTTCAGTGTACCAAAATTTAAAAAAATTTCGGGTAGCATACCACCGGACCTTCCTAATTTGGAGTCCGCCCCCCCCCCCCACTTTTTGGGATGGATTGACGCCCTTGATTTTCATAGTAAAAGTTATCGTGCGTGGAATGAAAATTCTCCATATAAACACCGGGATTCAATCAAAGTTCAAAGATACCGCCGCAAGCTATTTTTAACTTACTGTAAAAACACAATATCAAAATAACAAAATTGTCCCGGCAAGCGGGATGAAATTTTCTCATATAAACACAAGAGAAATTCATCCCGCTTACCGGGTTGCCTCGCTATTTAAAGTCTAAGAGGGTCAGCCCGGCTTCCATATAAGCAGCCCCTAAGGAAAACACTGCAATCACAGCACACAGAACTCAACAACTAAGGATATGGAAAACGATACAAAGCCATTACCAAACAATACATTAAATTAGTAGACTGTAGGTAATCATGTGATGTAGAGCACAATTAAGGATTAACAGCACGAGTGATTTTTGAAAATTTTGCCAATATGGTTTTGGTTTGAGAATGCCATTTTCAAATACAAATATAGTTTATTGGTTTATTCTATATTTTGACCATAAATATTGCAACTAGAAACAAATTCTAAACATACTGTAGGCAGTTAATCTGAGTTTAAAAAAAAGTTCAATATTTTGCAAAATTCTGTTACCAACTTTCCCAATAAGTTGTTAGCCTACAAAATCAACTATAGATGCATTTACTTTAACCAATTGAGTCACATTGCGCCCTGATGCGGCCCACTTTATTATTTTACCGCTCTGTCTAACGCCAGACGATTTTACTCATCAATGGGAGAGCGCTGGCGCTTGATGGCCCGGGTTAACTGGTCTATCTGCTCATGTGCATGTGTCTATAGTTAACACATTGAGTCGCATTGCACCCTGATATGCCACACTTTATTATTTTACCACTCTGTCTAACGGCAGATGATTTTACTTGTCAAGGGGAGACCGCTGGCGCTTAATGGGTTAATAACTGGTTAGCATGATTCCATTTATGCTACTTTAAACAGAATGTATTGTCTAATATTAAAAATATTTTGGGGTATATGTCAATATGAATTGGAAATCCCAGTGCTTTTAGGAGCTTCTTTGCTTGTTTAGCACTGATTAAACCAAGATCTTGACAATTTTTCTGGGAATTTATTCCCATTCCTTCTGAAAAACAATCTCTAGTTCAGCAAATGTCCTTGCTTCTGGGTTTCCTTCCATCAAGCTACAACACGGCCAAACACACTGTATTGTTTTGCTCTATCTACAGTAATACCAGACAATTTTACATGTCAAGGGGAGAGTCTTGCACTTGAATGGGTTAATATGCCAAGCGGGATACACAACTACACTATAAGTATAAGAATACAAATAATTTTTCTGTGTTGGTGTAATGTACTCAGGTGAATATGATGCTTGTGATGTTACTCTGAGTGTATATTCACACCGGCCAAGCTTGAAAAATATGCCTGGAAATGGCAAGATTCGAGAATCGAACCTACGACTAGATTCTGTTTGTTCCGAAGGAACTAGATTCTGTTCCGAAATATCACATACTCGAACCGACCTGACCACGTAGCTCAGTTGGCAGAGCATTGGGCTAGTATTCCAAAGGTCCTAGGTTCGATTCCCACCGTTTCCAGGCATATTTTTCAAGCTTGGCCGGTGTGGATATACACAGAGTAACATCACAAGCATACAAATATAAGTATGTAAAAACCAAACCTCTGAAGATTGCAGCTCTCCTGGTCATTCTCCTATTGTTTATTGTGGCTTCAAACTGTTTGTAAATGTAGACCCTATTCTGTGACAGGGGATAAAAAGACTCGTACTGTACGAAATTGTGCCCTCATTCGTAATAATACACTTTAACCAATCTAATTTGATACCCTGCACAACAATAAAGTCAGGAGGGTCAAAGAAATTGAGTCAATGAGAGAGAGCAAAGTGTTTTCTTCAATCAGAAACCTCATAAGTCAGACCCCACAAAGAGTCAATTTAGTCAAAATGCATCTTGGCCATCTAATGGCTAGAATCTGCCCCAATTAAGTCATGGGTTTGTGCATAAAACCACTATTTTACTTTTTTTACACAAGGGTCGGTCTCGGCTGGTTCAGGAAATTTGATAACTGAACCATTTATGACTATTAATTATGCTGGCTACCATAATGAAAGATCATGACTGGACAATTTTATGCATATTAATTATCTGTGCAATTTTTAGCATATCTTTGTATATAAGCTTCCTTTTTTCATTAGTCCTATAGAAGGCCACAGTTTAGTAGCCAAAAGCTTGTCAACATAAAAATCTTTTTTCAATAAAAATTCAGTGAACATCTTGAATTATATACTACGAGTATGACTATGAACTCGTTGCAAACCTGGGGGGAAAGAGGTGGCTTAACGCTCATTCCCAACAGTTAGGGGCCCCCATCAGCCATGGCTTATCGCCCAGAAGGTTAGAAAATGTAAAAAATGCAGGTTAAGAATAAATGGGGAAAATTTAATAATGCTAAATAATAAAGCCTCCATCGACAACAGTAGCTGATTTTTTTATTCAATCTTGAATAAAACAAAACTTATTCTTATATTTAGTTGTTTGTACATGTATGTGTTGGAGACTGTTATTGTTATGGTTATAGACACAGAATTTTCCAGAACATTCTATAAATACCGTAAACCTCCAACTATAAGCCCTGGGCTTATATACTTAAATGTGATTTTTATACAAGGAGGACTTATTTGAGAGGGGGCTTATACAATTGGACAATCTTTCGTGTTAGTAATAAACTAGTCAGACATAAACAAGTCAGTCATAAACAGGAAAATAAACATGTATTAAGCAGCGTTACTGGGCTTATATTAATTCAGCAGACTTATATTCGGGGGGGGGCTTATATTCTGGGTGGCTTATATTCGGGAGAGCTTATATTTGGAATGCAGTGAGCGTTAGTACATGTGGTGGGCTTATACATGGGGGGCTTATAATCGGGGAGGGGGGACTTATAGTTGGAGGTTTACGGTATCTCAGTCAAACAATGACAATAGTCAACAAGGGCCCCCACACCAAATATGCCTATAAAGGACCCCCTCTTCCTCCGTTATGCCACTGGGGAAAAGGCTGAAGCCAAAGGAAAACAAAAACCAAAAACCTGAGAGGAGTTTTATGACTCGCGCCCTATATTCGGGACTCGCGCCATTTTGTCAAGAGCGCGCCAAATTTTATCACAGGAAAACTAAAGGAAAACCTAAAAAAATCAGACAAACAAAGTAAGGTATTTCATCTCACAGTTTCTATACTTCACCTTGTTTCTTTGTTTGCAAATTTCTTCAAAGTACATCGTCCCAAGCTGATACCAAGTCGTTCACAAATCAATTTGGCAAGCTCAGGATGCGAGCTGCCGCCAAAGATTTTGATGTTTGGCATCTTCTTTGGCTTTGCCGCTATTGTATCTTCGCTACCACCAAATGTACTCAGGATGTTAATGGTGCTAAGACTCCTTTAAATAATAAACGAGTTCAATTAAAAGGCAGACTATAAAATGTTCTCAAATAAATAGTCTGTATGAAAATACAGACAAACCAAATTTTCGGAAACGTGCAAAGTTCATCCAAGCATTTCGAATTTCGGACAAGACACATAGAGCTACTTCATGTTATCAGAGTTAATGGAGATGTTATAGGAATTCTGGTGAACCTTTCCAGAGCAGTCGTCAGGACTGAGGTAAAATTTTATTAAATACATTATTTATACATAGACAGACATATTTCATATCATTATTTATGGGGGGGTTGGGAAATGGGAGGGAGGAGGGGGGGGGCAAACGAAGTTTTACCCTTATAAATAGGGGGGTCAAAAAAGTTTTAACACAGAGAAAGGGGGGGTCATAAAAGTTTTTGAACTTAAATACCATGTCTAGAGTTCTGATTTCTATAATCACAAATAGCACAAAAGAAGACTCTGAAAATGCTATTTCCAACGTTCTAGAGACTCAAAATTTTCCTGCTCGGCGCCAACCATGGTAGCGCCTCGCGATCGTGGGAGTCGGGCCCACTAAGTTTAACAAGCTTTCTACCCCCTGAGTGACCCAGTTCACTTAACTGATCAGATTCGATCTATCAACGCACAATGTAACGCTGTATATCCAAAAATCTGTTTCAGAAAATGCTCACATTTCAGTTTTCTAGGGGTGGACCCCCTACCAGTACAAACGATACCACACCAAACTTTTTGTCACCAACAACCATCTGTCATCTCTCCACACTCAATATAGTATGGTCCCTTTTTGTAGATGCCCACCCCCCAGACATGTTCTTACAAATCATTTCGCTGTATGAAGATGGGTCATGGGTTAGAGTTATGCTAGGACAAATGTTGCATTGCAAAGTAGTAACACATATAATATATATTTTTTAATCATATATGGTTGAATCATTTAACGTTTATTTAACGTTATTGTCAAACAATGTATTCCACGTAATGTTATTATATATATATATATATATATATATATATATATATATATATATATATATATATATATATATATATATATATATATATATATATATATATAATATATATATATATATATAATATATATATATATAATATATATATATATAATATATAATATATATATATATAATATATAATATATATAATATATATATATATAATATATATATAATATATAATATATATAATATATATAATATATATGAGTGTGTGTTGTGATTCACTCGTATTCTTTAAAAAGACATGGATGATGTTTAGTAATAATAATACAAGTTTGCGTAATCGGCACGATTTCTAGTTTGTGTTCATTATGGTAAGTAAAGCTACGTGTATATTTTGTAAGCACTTAGAGTCTTTGTACACTATTCGCTGTATAAGTAACTTGCTTTCCACACGAAAGCCGCCGCCACGGAATTTCAATCCGTCGCTCGTACATTCCAAGTGCCGATTAATTTGGCAAGGAGTGTGCCCGAAATTTCGTATTTTGTCATCGATTTGTATAGGTAATAGCATGGTTTCGAGTAGCCTGCGAGCAGGCTCTCTGGGGAAAGAGAGCCTGCAAGGATCCCTTTGATGATTCGGTGCATGCGTCCAATATTTGGACGCAGTGCTCTGATTGGTTGATAACTGATTCATATGAAGTGATTGACAAGCTTCCATAAACTTGCACTTCCCGTTTGTAAAACCGAGCAACGCAAAGCTTCGGAACTGCGGCAATGTAGAGATAAAAGTGTCATGTATTTTGATCCTGGTTGACTTTTTACTGTAAATTAATATAGTATTCATATAAAGACGAATACTAAAAGCTTGCATGCTTTATTGTGTCCTTGGCTTGGCTGACTCCTAAGCTAAGAATAATTCTTGAGAAAGACTGCACAAATTCGCAAACCGAAACCTAGGGACAAGGCATTATATCGCTTCTCTTTTATGAAACAATATTGGGAATTCTGATAATATTCAGTGCATATTGTGTTTATTAAGCTTGTTTTACAATGTTATACTGACTATTTAATATTTATAAGTATGCGGCGTTAAAATGTACAGTAATTTACTCGTCACTTTGTTTACAATAATTATCACATGCATGTTTACTGCAATTCCACTTTTGTTGCAAAATTTGAACTATAAACATATTATTAAATTATGTCCAATGTCCATGGTATATCATATATGTCTATGTCTCACCAAAGCCATAAATTTCAGTAAGTTATATTATTACTATATATATAGACTGTATACAGTGTATATTATATATTGCAGCACGAAGCAATTCCAAATAACTGAATTAGTTGGCGGGTAATATACAACTTTAAACTTACTGTGCCTACAGGAGAAACACATGCAGATTGTAATAAAAAGTACAACTTGATATATTACTCTGTAAAACCTCGAGCCGTTTTAACTTTTTTAGTATGCCACAGTGACGGTCTGTATACGAAACTATTAACGAATTTGAAACGATCGGTTTATGTTTACAATATCGTAGTGTATTCCGGTCTGCGCTGATTGGTTGTTATTAATTGACCTGTGACATCATAATTGAAGGGCGGCACGCAATCATCATAGGGATCCTTGCAGGCTCTCTTTCCCCAGAGAGCCTGCTCGC